TCAGGGCCACGACGGGTGCATGCATGCATCGGCCTGTACCGGTCCTGGGGTTGGCGATCTGGTTCTTCTTGAAGTATTTCCGGTAGTAATAGATGCGGATGATGACCGGCGCCGTGGTGAGAAGCACGCCATTCCCCAGGAAGATGAGCGCCCCGATGATCACCTGGCCCAGCCGACTGAACTGCGAGAAATTGGTCGGGAAGAGCCTGCGTGCGCACATTCGACCCGGCACGACACACAACACGCACATGACCCACACCATACACACGACACGCACGACACGCACGACAAGTGAGTACAACGCTCGGTTCAGTTCAGCTTTGGGGGGGAAGGTGCGGAGAAGTACCCAGTCTGCGTACAAGCGGACACGGCATGGAACAGGGAGTCGAGGAAGGTCATCTCGCTGGACAGCCCAAGCTGCGACACATACACAAGAATCCCTCCTGCACCGACAATCAACATTTGGCGACGTTGCGTGCGTGTGCGTGTGCGTGTGCGTGTGCGTGTGCGTTGGTGTGTGCCACGTACCGAAGATGGAGAGGAACCAGATCCACAGGAAGTGGATACGGAAGTAGTTGAAGGGCGGCCACAGGAAGTTGAGGACCGTCTCGTAGCCCCACACGTAGAAGGGCACCACCTCTTGTTCGCCCTCGCCCTTGGCCGACCTGACGGGCGCCACCACCGAGAGGGACTTGGGGGTTGAGGTTTGATCCACTCTTACACCGCGCGCTGCACACGTAGCCACGAAAGATTGGACGTGCGCGGGCGTACTTGAACAAAGGGTTCTGGCTCGTGTGCCACTTGGGTCCGGTCTTGCCCTTGCTCTTCTTCCCTTTGCCGGTGATGATGCTGCTGATGCTGCTAGCAGTAGACTTACGCTTGCGCAACCCCGGCTCGCCTGGCGCCAGGCTATCCGTGCTCTCTACGCTCTCTGTGCCAACCACAACAAACACAACAGCCGGTCATGATTGATGGCGAATTAATCGTGTAGAGAGATTAATGTGATGTGCCGGCACTGCAAGGTACCTTGGCGTTGGAGCTCGAACGAAGAGGTGTCGGCCGCAACGCTGGCTGTACATGGTGGCCAAGATGCGACTTAGACAACGCACGTGCCGCAGCAACCTGGG